AGACCCACCCATTTGGGACAGAAAATAAATCATGTGCCGACACAGAGAGAATGAAACATGGGGCCCATCACATAAACGGTGTCCACAAATCTGTGCATAAATCATTTGCCAATTATTCAAAGCCTGCTGAAGTCGGTAGAAGCCTTTCCATTTACTTGAGCAGGCTCTGCATCAAGTTTTGTCATAAGGCATCATGCAGGTTGAATAATTTCTGTGCTGTAATTAATCCCTCACAATTCATATCTGATAGCATTATTGTTCCATTCTTTTTGAAAGACATCCTATCCTCAGTCAATCCCCTTTAAATCAAATGGGCTTTCTTCTGAGGAGAAATACAAGATTGTGTTGTAAACTACATTTATCCATTCTTTTCTTCATGCACCCTTGGGGCCACATCCTACCTTATTTATTGTTTGATTTTTTAATTTGTTGAAAGCCTCCCAGAGTGACGGGGGCAACCCAGTCAGATGGGTGGCATATAAACAAATAATAATGAGGCGGAGGAGTATTGAATAGATTTATATCTAACCTCATGGGAACAAATCTTCAGAAAGTGGGAAATAAGATGCGGAAACTGAACAACAGCCAACTAACACTACAAATTTCACTCAAATTTAGACTTTTAAAACACTCAAAATCCTTAAAAGGAGCAACATCAAACAAACCACATCAAGCCATGATGGCTGTACTTTGTCTCCATGGTTGAGGCACGATGCCTCTGAATGCCAGTTGCTGGAAATGGGCCACAATTGCTTTCCTAGCAGTACTTGAGTGTGGCCTAATCCTGACTATATGGACAGCTCCTGATCAGCGGCAAATCATATAGAAATTGGGGCAAGAGTTAATATTCCGGCTGATCACGTTTTGGAAAAAAGTTGAAGTAAAGTACAAATGAAGACTTATTGGGACAAGGAGTCCAGTCAGAATAATGAAATCTTGTATAGGTGTGCCAATTATATAGGTAAATAAGGATGGGGGACAAATTTCTGAATGAGCTTGTATATAGTCTGCAAGCAGTCGGTAATCCCTAAGATCTCAGCTGGACTGGGCCAGAGGTACTCCACTCGTTCAGAGAAAGAGATTTGATCTATGCTACAAATTATATCTCAAGACTTCAAGGGGAGAATTTAAAGCTGGGCTCTGCCAAACTCAGGTCCAACACTCTAACCTCTGTTTCAACAATACATGTCCCTTAGTAAGGATGTTGGCTCTCCAATTGCTCTCTTGAGCCAACAGAAGACATAATGTCTGAAATTATCCAGTACAAACAAGGCAAAACAAACATGTGGGGCACATATGACAATGTGGGTCATGCCTCAGCAAATGAAATGCTGATCCTGAAAGCTTTTAGAATGTCCATTTAGTATCGAGAGATGCCCTCAGGGTTAACCACAAGACATTTCCCAAAAGAATTGGAAATAGAACTGGGAAACACCAAGGCGATGAGGGGGAAAGGGCAGCCATGTGGTGGGGAATATGCAACAAAACTTCACAGCTCTGATTCTGGGAATCACTCCTCTGAAGTCTGTTGATCTAACTTTGAAGAAAATGGTTCAAGGACTACAGCAGGCCTTGAATATTCCAGAGAATATTCCTCCCACACACTTGTGGGAGAGCAAAATGACACTAATCAGTGAACGCGAGTAAAAGGAGGCATCCTAAGCATGCAAGCAAAGGCATCTTCTGTGCCACTTGCAGATCAAAGAGCTCAAACAGCTGAAAATACTCTTCACCAATTCCTTCTCACTTTCTCGCCTCATGCGCCTTCTCCCCTGCTATATCTGGTCCATGTGCAGCCTTTTTCTGGTTCGTTCCCCACTAGGCTGCTCTTTTGTGTTAGACCCTTCGTCTGATTAACATTTCAAACCCATTGTTGGCATCTTCCAGCTTAAATGAACTAATCATCATTAGCACTTCAAAACCTGTCCTCTTTTTCTCTGCCAGAATCACAGGTGTCTCTGTCAGCTGCACACAAGGAAACACAATGTGAGGATGCTTCTGCCTCAAGCCACAAGGAAAACAAGGGCAGTGCTGGATTCCAGTAAGCGGGGAGTGTGTGTGGGAGAGAGCTAGCCTTCCATTTGCTCTGTGACCTGATTTATCACAGAGAGTGCCTGCTCTTCAAGTTGTCTTGCATGAGGTCCAGACCATGTGTGATTCATTGCAGCATTGACTCAAATCCCTGCAGCCCTAGAGCCTAGTATTGACTGGGGACAGCCTGACCACCTCTTCACCAGCCCAGAATATGAAGAATAGGGAGTATTTTTAGTAATTGGGAGCCTCTTTCCCCAAACATGGGTCTCCAGCTGTTTCTAGACTACAACTCCCATCATCCCTGGCTAACAGGAGCAGTGGTCAGGGATGATGGGAACTGTAGTCCACAAACAGCTGTGGTCCTTTGCTTTAATGTAGTCCTTTGATTTAATGCCCTGATGCAGCCAGCTTCACTGTTATCTGTAATTTGAATCAGAGGTTTTGCAGTTCTTTCTTTTGGCCTTGTGCCATATTAGCTCTCAAGCAAGCTTCCAGGCTTACATGTACAAAACTCCTCTCCCTGCATTTCCACTTTGGTTAGAGCAGTGCCCAGGAAACCCCTCCCTCCTGCAGTCTCCCAAGACATGCAGAAATATCATTCTAATCTGTTGTCAATGCCCTGCGTGCCTCTTTACTTCTGTGCATGTAGAATAATCCCTCACTATCTCCTCCTCCTCCTCCTCCTGATATCTTTTGACCAGAACAAATGCCATTGTCTGCAAGTGCAAGTGTCTGGCTTTAAAGCTGCCTCCCCAAAGGGCAAGAGCCATCATCTGCAGCCTACCCATTCATAACTGGAGCAAAATTGAGGAGGGCGTGTCTGATTACACAGAGAATTTGCTCAGCCAACTGTACCGAAGGAAAGTCGATGTGGCCTGAGCCTCAGGCACTCCAGAGCTATTGCAAGATGTTGACAGAAGGGGGCAAAATCCATCTACCGTCAGAGCTTGTTCCACGCTGGGCTTCCAACTCTCTCTCCTCCCCCCCCTCCCCCTGTTACTTCACACTTCATGGGATTCAACCCTCTGGGCTGTCTGCTGATTGTGCAGGAGGAGGGGACGTTTTTGACTGACTCAGTTTAAATACAATCAAAACCCATACGGGCTGTCAAACGAGAGAAGAGGCCATCTCTCATTTAGTTCTTATTTACCGTCTCTGCTGCATAACACTCCTGCTCTGGAAGGCTGAGCAGATCTCAGCAGCATGGGGTTTTAACAGAGAGTTCTGCTTTTCCAGATATTCAGGAAAAGCCAAAGAAAGCTCAGTGCCCTTGCCTCCTAAAAAGGAGCACACTTAAGCTAAGGAATGGTGAGTACAGGGAAGGCTTGCAGAGGAACATGCTGCTGATTCTTATAAGCATGCAGCCTGCTCATATTTACAAGTGCATATTTGCAAGCTCCTATGACATGCTTTCGAACTGCTAGGTTGGCAGGAGCAGGGACTGCAACGGGGTGAGCTCCTGTTGCCTGGTCCCTCCTCCTGCCAACCTAGCAGTTCAAAAGCACGTCAAAGTGCAAGTAGATAAATAGGTACCACTCCAGCGGGAAGGTAAATGGTGTTTCTGTGTGCTGCTCTGGTTTGCCAGAAGCGGCTTAGTCATGCTGGCCACATGACCCGGAAGCTGTACGCCGGCTCCCTCGGCCAATAAAGCGAGATGAGCGCCGCAACCCCAGAGCCGGCCACGACTGGACCTAATGGTCAGGGGTCCCTTTACCTTTACTATGTGACTAAAGTTCACTGCTGGGACATATATAATCTGTGAAGCGTTACTCATGGGAAAGGAATGGATTCTATCCGAATTTTCTGACTTTAAATAATGTGCATATAATATTTAATTGGCACACATTATTTATTATGCTATTCACCCCTTAAATAAAGGCTTTGGGGGTCACACACATGGAAGAAGAAGAAGAAGAAGAAGAAGAAGAAGAAGAAGAAGAAGAAGAAGAATTGTGCCCCACCTATCTGGCTGGGTTGCCCCAGCCACTCTGGGCGGCTTCCAGCATATATAAAAACATACTAAAACAATAAACCTTAAAAAGCTTCCCTATACAGGGCTGCCTTCAGATGTTTCCTAAATGATATATAACTACTTATCTCCTTAACATCTTGTAATGGATTTAGGGGTTGGTTGCTCGTGCGTAAGTTGCCGCCACTGCTGGTGAGGTTACCTGGTTAAACCCTTTCTGACTGAACATTCTCCAGCATCGTGACTGTCTCAGTCGCTGGCAGAATCCGTCAGTGGGCGTTTCTTAAACTTCTTCCAGCACAAAAATTCCTTGACGCCAAGTCTCCTCCTACTCTCCCTGTGCAGAAGTCTTCTGCGCAGGGACGGTGTGGGCAGTGGAGTACCCGTACTCTCTCCGCTGGTCTCCGGCGAGGAGTCTTGGATCCTCCTCTCTGATTCCCCCATCTGCCCCCCTTCTCTACTGGTGTTATGCTGATTTCCTTCCCCAGCGGACGGGCTCCCTCTCTCCCTACTGGGACCCTCTCCGCCATCCCTTTGGAGCCTTCCCTCCGCTTCCAGCTCCAATGGCAGTTCCCTGACACATCTGATGGGAGGGCATTGCACAGGGTGGGTGCCACTACCGAGAAGGCCCTCTGACTGGTTCCCTGTAACTTTACTTCTCGCATTACCCAGTGAGATAAGTTATGTTGAGAAAAATGGACTGTCATCCAATTAACTTCATCAATGAGCAGGTATTTGAACCCATATGTCTCCTCAATCAAATCCCAGTACTCTAATCCAGCCTTCTTCCACCTTTGGTCACCAGATATTGTTGTCCTACTGTTCATGTCATGCAGGACTATTGGCCATGCTGGCTAAGGGTGATGTGGGTTGTAGTCCAGCAACATTTGGGGACCTATTCAGTAACAAGCTAGGTTAAAGGTAAAGGTAAAGGGACCCCTGACCATTAGGTCCAGTCGTGGCCGACTCTGGGGTTGCGGCGCTCATCTCGCTTTATTCTAGCTGTTTTGGGACTACAACTCCCATCATCCTTCGCAAAAAGGACCAGTGGTCAGGGATGATGGGAATTGTAGTCCCAAAACAGCTGGAGGGCCAAGTTTGGCCATCACTGATCTACACCAAGGATAGAGAACTTGTTATCTTTTAGATGTTGCCGAGTGAACTATAACACTTATTGTCCTTGACCATGCTGACTGGGGTTAATCAAAGGTAGAGTTTCACAACATGTCATGGGCCTATCTCTGATCAACACTCTGTATAATTTTATAGCCCTCTAGCACCAACCACTTCTGTTATATTTCACCTCCCAAGACCGTAACATTTTTGCATCTTTTCAAGCTCTACCATATTACGGATGGTTGAAATGTTTTCAATAATTCTCTTGACTAAGGGATGTCAGGTTTTTCTCCCCATTTGAAAGGTTAGCAATCTAACTACACATCAGAGAAAGAAGGGTGCATGTTGGTTTCAGCGTGTATGGAAATGGCAGGCAAAGGAAACACCCTGAAACCTGGTTTCTACAGTCTCTCTCCCATAAAGATCCCTAATTTTTATCTCCATCCATTCTCATTTCATCCCCCCCCCCAGTTCACAGCAAACTATTGCATTTTCCAAGTAGAAGTGCTTCAGTTCCTTTTACCTGTGACAGTGAATATTAGATGTGTAGGAAAGCCTGCTCTGTATAATATCAAAGGGATGAATAATATTACTGGTCTCCTGGTAATGGAGAAGGAGGGATGAACCTGAAGGACCTCCCACAGTAGAAAAGGCTTGACTGCCTCCTCATATGAGAACAGCTCTGCTGGATCAGACCTTGGTCTCACACTGGACAACCAGTTGTCTATAGGAAGCCCACAAGCACAAGCTGAACTCAAGCAGGACCTGAGTGAAGCAGCAAGGGGAAGGTGTTTGATGTGAGAAAGTAGCACAATTCACACCCCTTTCATCTTTCCTGATTCAGATGCTGCTTACCCCTTAAGATGCACATAGTGGAAGTATGGGGGTGGGGAGACTGACCAAAGTCACAAGTCTTTGTAATAGCAAAATCTCCAAAACAGCATCTGACAATGGACAAAGCTCTTGAAGTTGGTCATCCAATTCCATGTACCGGACTCAAGTATTCTCAAAAAGAAAAGAAAAGAAAAGAAAAGAAAGCCCTCAAGGGAGGAGGATAAATCGATATGGGGACCAGCCCTCAAGTGCTCTTTTCACTTAAGGGCAGATGAGGATGTAGGAGGGGAGAGGGAGGCTCTAGCTATTCAATCATAGACACAACCAATCCTTGTGTCACAGAGGAGCAAGTGAATTCAGGGGCATTCTGTTTTCCAATTTGGCAGCTGTCACTCTTTGTGTAATAATGGGAGATTTGGTGCTGCCCTGCTCTGGGTTAGCACCAGCCACCCGTGTAACAAGCTGCCATCATTAAGCATTCACTATCCTTCTGCTCAATTGAGTTTAATTTGACAGGAAATGGCACCTTCTGAAATTATCATCATTGTTCTAACTGCATATCGAATCATAGCTATCATCACTTTGGGGAAGCATGAAGGGAATCTTTTGCAGAAATACCATCAGCTTCTCTGAAGATTGCTTTGATGCTCATGGGGAACAGCCACCTCTCTAGGGTCGAATCAGGGTGACCAGCCCTATAGGAGTCCCAAGAGATCCCAGCCACTTGGAATAACCTTGTTAATTTCTTCCACAAAGTAGCTGCTCCTAGGTAGTATCATACTTTGTAGCGGCTTTCATCACACGGATTGACTGGTTTCCCACTACAGCCCTGCACATATGCATTGGGGGGGGGGGACCTTATAGCACGTAACTTGGTGGAAATTGTCTATACTCTGTGATGAACAACTCCACTGTGTGAGGATCCATGACCAATCCTAGCTCAAGGAGGCAGGGTTTTTACAAGTAGCTTATACCAAACAGTGTGCTGCCAAAGGAGCTGTCCTTGGTGGGCAAGTGAACAAGGAGCTTAGATCAGTCTGGCAAGAAACTGGTTTGGAAACATACAGATTTGAATCTTTTCAAGCTGCTTTGAAAAAAGCCAGATGACTTGAAGCACAATATTGTGAGCAGCAAAAACTAGAAGGGGAATTGTGGACACATTTTTGAGCCTCAGAAAGGAAACGAACTGTTTCCTGGGGGCTTAGATTTCAGTGGTATCGTTCAGTCTTCTTCTTCTTCTTCTTCTTCTTCTTCTTCTTCTTCTTCTTCTTCTTCTTCTTCTGGCTTTCTCACTCTAAGAGTGACTGCCTGGCTACTTGCTGCCATTATTCCCCCACAGAATGTATTTCTGGAATGATGTCATGCCCACTACCCCAATAAGCGCTCTCTCTTGTTGTTCAGGAACAGGCTCTTATCAACAGAATACTTTCCAGCCAGGATGACTATGCTGGCTGGGGTTGATGAAGTTGTAGCCCAAAAATCTAGAGAGCAACAGGTTGGCAAAAGCTGTTGTGGAAAGATACAGCTTTTTTTAAAAAAAAAAAGTCAAGGTAACTTTGAGGTAAACGCACTTCCCATTCAACAGTTTGTTTACTTTATAAGGGTTCAAATGACCCATCCTGTTTTAAAAACTTCCTTGGTTAATATATACACAGAGCAGCAGCAGTTGATGGGGTGGAGGAGTATTACACATCTGTTCCTGCCACTGCACCTACACCTACACCATGTTGATCCCTCCATGACTCTGCTCCCCCCCCCCCCCGGTAAATTGCAGCAATGCTTGGAGTAGGGAAGCCAGCTGCACAACACTGCCTTGCCTGTGCCACCCCACTGACCACTGAGGACACAGAAAGAGATCAGATTTCATCAGCTTATATTACATCTGCTTTTGTGTGCAATATGGACAAACTATAGCATAGATAACAAAGATGCAGGATTTCCCAAAAGCAAGGCTCATAAGCTATCCTGTGCATCATATGTAAAGGTAAGGTAAATGTAAATGACACCTGGATGGTTAAGTCCCGTCAAAGGTGACTATGGGGTGCAGCGCTCATCTCGCTTCAGGCTGAGGGAGCCGGCTTTTATTCACAGAAAGCTTTCCAGGTCATGTGGCCAGCATGACTAAACCGCTTCTGGCGCAACGGTACACCATGACAAGTGCCAGAGCTCACAGAAACGATATTTACTTTCCTGCTACAACGGTACCTATTTATCTACTCACACTGGTATGCTTTCAGTCTGCTAGGTTGGCAGGAACTGAGACAGAGCAATGGGAGCTCACCCGGTATTTGTTCACTTCTCCCACACATCGGGTTTATTGGACATTTAAAGGAATTCCAGAATATGTTACAAGCCAAAAGGGAGAATTGAGGCTGTCTCATTATTGCCACTACAGGGTTTGTTTTCTTGATGCATAAATCAACATTAACATTCCTAATTCTCACAGCCTATTATAAGGTAAGTAGTCCCTCCATAGGGACCATCCAAGAAATCTAGACAGTGATGTGTTGCTAGTAGAGAACTATACCAAGCTGTCTGCCTCCAGGTCAGTATCTCTGGGAGGCTCATGCAGGCACCTCAAGTGGCCTGGTACAGGCAAACAAATAAAAAGAAACCAAAGGATGACTGAGTGGATCAAACTCCCCAAATTCCTCTGGTTCCAGGTTGCGCTTATCAGACAGTAGCAAAGCGAGAACAAAAGTTTCATTCAAAGAAAGCACAACTTATGGGTATGCAATATTCTGTCTGTATTTGTGGCAGCCTCAGATACCAAGAGAGAAACACCCAACAGTGTATGAAAAAGACCCTTTCTGTCCCCAGGTGTGTTCTGGTTATGGTACCTGACCATATCATCCTTTGGGGGAAGGGCTGCTTCAGACATCACACTTTTTAACGAGATGAAATGCACATCCATGTAAAAATTAAAGTCGATACCTATGTTTGTCCCAAACATAGTGGTTGGGTGCATTGCTAGCTCACAGTGTACAGTCACCACATATCTACACGTAGCGTTTATTTTTTCTTCTAAACATGTAAGGGACTTCAAGTTACAAGAAAGGAGATTCTGACTAAACACCAGGAAAAAAATTCTGTCTGTAGGAGCCATTCTCTTACACTGGAAGGACTCCCTCAGAAGGTGGTGGACTCTCTTTCATGGGAGGTTGGATGGTCATCTGCCATTGATGCTTTAGTTGAGATTCCTGCATTGCAGGGAATTGGACTAGATGACCCTTGCGGTCATTGCCAACTCTACAGTTCTAAGATTCTATGATAGGCATGTCAGGTCCAAACATGACAAGGGCACCTTGAAAGGAAAGAACTCTGCCAGCTTCTTCTGCCATACTTGCATACAATCAGAGCTGGCCAAACTTTTTGATGCTATTTTTCTGCCACTTGTCTGTCAGAATCACATCTAACAATTCTGGCATTACAAAGATGTACATCTCTGGCCACTGCCTCAGTGCCTCCCTGTTGGAAACATGCCCAAGAGAGTGCTTTGCTACACTTGCCCACTGCCTACAAGTGAGTGACATGGTGCATACAAACGCAGACTGAGCCTCAAAAGAATGCATTGATTTATTGATTAGAGGAAGACACGGTCTCCTTGACAGAGGCACGCTGTCAAATGGCAGGCAGGACATGCTGCTAAAAGCCCTCCAGATTGATTACCCAACCTGGCACCTGATCCTTCACTGCCAGACCCCAGCAGAAGAAGATCACCAGGAGATTTACTCATAGCTGCATTTAATCAGATGAGATGAGGCACATGTATGAATGAAAGCCTTGGATCCAGTTCAGAGTCTGCAGCCTAGGATGCTCTCAAGCTCTCAAGGATTTGAAATGGGATGAAGCCCCTGGGTAAGTGAGTGAAGATGGCAAAACAGCAGAGACAGCCTGCAGCAGTTAAGTGCCACCTGTGGAACTTATAAAGCTGTGACTTTCTTTCCACATCTGTTCCCTCTTCTATGATTAAACCATCCCTTTATGGAGGATTGTATAATTGGAGTGTGCATTGATAAGAAGAATAAGCACCTAGTTTATACAACATAATTCCCTTCCTTCAAGCATGAGGCATCTTGTATAGAATGTTCCAGGAGAAGAGAAATGTTTGCCCAGTGCTTTCGGCATTAGTTTCTTATAACCTATAATAAATGTATACATTGGTGACTAAGGCTGCAGTTAGCTGGCCTACTCAGCCCAGGTAAGTAGAGTTAGCATTGCAGCCTTATTTAATGAACAACCACAATGTTGCTCTAATGTTGGAGGTTGAAGGGGGAGGAACAAGCCAGCAGTGAGTTTGGGAAGGTGCAAAAGCACTGCATTGGTTCTGCCAGTGCGTCTGCACAATGTCAACATTGCCACCTTCTTTCCTTGTCTGCATCTCTGTAAACAGCAGTGACATAACCAACTGGAAGTCAGTTGAGCAGCAGAACCTCAGTACATTGCTTTCTGCTAACCATAAGGATTAAGGATTCTTAAGAACCTATGTGATTGTGCCCCTTGCAAAGCCAGACCTTTAAAGATCCCAATTGTGCTGTGAGGTGAAACCATGGGAAAGCAGTTCCTACACTGTTGACAAAATGTCAATATCCACCATGAATGCAACACCTTTCCATGGGTGAGATATGAACTTGATATCAACAGTTTTCTTTGCTTTTAAGATTGCTGTCACTGGTCATGGTATTGAGGGTGACTATCCCTATATGAAACACACACACCTCTGATTGTCAAACAAAATCTATGTATTTTTACTGTATATGTCATTTACTTAGTTAATTTTGAGACTTATGGTGAATTTGGTGGATGATGAAAAGGGCAGAATTAATTACGATCCAAGTTGTGGAGTCAACATCCTCCCTCCTTCCAAAGAGGCAGTCGAACTCATTTAGGCACACATTTCCACCCTCAAAGTCTAGTTACTAATGATCTGATTAGTGCTGTATGTTACCGATCAGTTAAATGAAGAGCAGGAAATAAAGCAGCCATGTAGAATACAGTCGCTTTGTCCCCTGAGACAGAAGGAAGACAACATCTGATCCCGCCCCCCCTCTCCATCAGAGCTAAGTGATGTGTTTGCCAAGATTGGCTCTCCCCAGTTTATGAACACCAGGGGTAGAGGAGAAGGAGGAAGTGTTATCATATTTAATGGTGCTTCTCATGCTATGGCTTCAATAATTAAAGGAGATTCACCCATGTAGAACCACAGAGAAGAGGGGGGAAAGGGGGGGGAGAAAGAAATCTCAGACAGTTGTGTAATTATTTTTCCCTCTGGGCCTGGGAAATGTTTACAATGAGTAATCCAAGACACTGCTTAAGATTCAAACTACCACTTGCCGAGGAAAAGAGGGAGAATACAGCAACAGTGTCTGGCTGCAGCTGCTCCCCAACGCTGATTCCAGCACAGAGAGGTAGGAATAAATCTGGCTGACATCACCAAGACTGCACATCTGGGAGCAGGAATGAGCTCAGAGGTCTTTAAGGATGCTCCGAGATCCTGGGCAAAGTGGGAGACACAGTCCAGGTAGTATTTGTTGAGTTCCAGAGTGCAAGAGGCCATCTCACACTGCAGGAAGCACTCCTATTGCAACTCAACCACAATAGCTAAACACTTCTTAATTGAATTTTGCTTTCCACTTATGCTTTGGAACCAAGGAGGAGGAGAGTCATAGATGTATGAACTGGGGACACAGAATCTGGCAAAAGGTGGTGCTGTGCATGTGGAGAGAGGTTTTCCATATTCCACTCTGCCAAAGATTATTAATTAGTGATGGGCTATAATTGATCAAAAAAAATCATACTCTGGATTTCCTCTGGATGTCCAAAAACTCATCCATTTTCAGCTGTATTAACTGAGGATAGGATTAATTGGGGGAAAGTGCACAGCTCAGCGGTAAAGCATCTGCTTTGCATGTAGGAGGTTCAATCCCCAATGTCTCCAGGTACAACTGGGAATGTCTTCTGTGTCTAAAATCTTGAAGAGGAGCTGCCAGTCAGTGTAGACAATTCTGAGCTAGATAGACCAGTTTCCTTTGTCTCTATGAGGCTTGCTAAGGGGTCTATGGGCTGTGCATGTTCAATAACATGAAGGGTGTCTCAGAGCATCCTTGACCCATCTTAGCATGGTTCAGAATCTCCCAATGATTCTTTGGGCAGATTTTTCCCCCTCTCCTTTTCGTTCCCACTTAAATTTCCCCATCTGTTTTGCTTCCTAACAACCAAATAGGGTGAGTGATTGAGGGTGAACAGTTTGGATAAACCTTAGATCCTTCCTTCTCTTCTTGTGGCCTGACTGGCTTGCATAATTGATTTGGAGGCAAAGCACTGCACCTCTTGATAGAATTGTGAAATATCCAGGGAATTTCAATGCCACTGAATGCTGGATGCTGGAAGGTCACTTCAGGAGAAGCTCCATGCCATGTTTCCTTGAAGCCGCAACTGGCTGGCTTCTGTGGGAAAGAGCATGCTGGACTTGAAGATCTGATCCAGCAGGTATTTTCTTAAGTCCTTATTTTCTATTGTCAGGGTGGTCTGTACTAATTAGTTAACCCGTGTGCATGAAGGCTTATGTGCATGCAGAACTGCTAGTTAGTTGTTTCAGTCTTTCTATGACGTTTGGGCTCAGCTCAATGGCCGTTTGACTCCTTCCACATCTCTGAAAGTTCCATATTTCTGTAGTTGCAGGAAAACAGAACTGAAGAGTGTGTGTGTGTGTGTGTGTGTGTGTGTGTGTAAACGAGGAAGGAAGAAAAGAATTGAATGAGTCTATGGGATGTTTTCTATCATATTTATGTTTATGTTCATACATAACACTTCCATGCATCATCTGTTATCTTTTCCCAGTGCCTCCCTGTCGCTATATATTTCCTTCCTCTGGAAAGAAGCATCCAGACTGACTTGTGGGCAATGTGCTGTTCATAGGTGTGGGGAGCAGAAATTATTTTTCACTTTGACTCTGCTTGTACTGTCATGCTCTCCATCACAGCCCTCTCCATTTCTATTGCCACATTACAGACTCCCTCATTCCTCAAGCTCATACTTTCAAGAAAACCGTGAGGCTTGATATATTTGTGTGTGGGGTGTGAGTTGGTTTCTGCTGACGATTGCCACGATGAGCTTGGGGAAATAAGCTGCTTTCAGGTCAACTTGGCAAAAGAAAAAATGTTAATCTGTTTTGATCAGATGCTAAGGTCCTTATGATGGCATCAAAACACCAAGGAAAAGAGATAAACATGAAGAAGTGTCTTTCAGATCAAATTTGGGAAATGGGCCTTCAGAGGTACTTGCTTTTCTGCTGGGAAATGTGAGAACATGTATCATTTATCAACTTCATGATTTTTCACTTTGTCTAGATAAACGTCCGTATCAAGTGAAACAAATTCCAAAGGCCCAACCAAAATCCCTGCCATTTTAGCTAATCAATTTAGAGACCTTCCAAGGCTTAGGTGCTATTTGGTCACACCTTAATGATGTGCAAGCTTTCACCAATGAAATAAAGTATCTTATTTAGGATATAATACGTACATCTGATTCCAATAAAAATATCTATCAAATACAAAAGTTTTAAACTTGTACAGGGATAGATATGGAAGGATACAAATAATGCCAGAATACAGGAGCTGGTTCCAAAAGAAGGGAATGGAAATGGAATTGAACAAATGAATGAATCATATGCAAATATGACAAGGCAAACACATTTTTAAACAACAAATTTTGGAAAGTGCATGATTCAGTGTGGTAGAATTTTGCAGTCAATTATATAAATGAAAACAACTTGCTTTATCTTCTGTTGTTTTCTGTTATAATTATCACAGATAAGCTAACCTAACATTAGACATCAAACAAAACCACCAGTCTTGGGGCACACAATTGTCAACCCGATAAATAGATTTCCCCCACCCCCTCAAACAATATCTTCTTCTTTCTAAACATGGCAAGAAATTGGGACTGCTTGTTTGCTGCTTATCTCTAAATGAGAACTTCTGTAGCCAGAAAGATCAGTGCTTCTAGGTGCTCTGATCTGGAAGCTATCTGTGCTTGCGCTGACACCTAATATGGGCCGACACAAGACAAGGTGTCAGAATTGCAGCTGATGGCAAATCATGAAAAGTGAGAGAAGCGAAGCCAAGGAGGGAGTAGAATCAGTGTCTGCTATCCAGTTTTGGTCAAAACAATGAATTGTAGAAAGATCGGCTACACCATGCAAGTAAACTTCCTTGTTAGCGTTGTACCAGATGTTTGCTTGCCCAAATATCAGCGACCATTGTTCTTTAGAGGGGGATGAAATCAGTTCTGAAAATATCCTCTCTCTATTTTTACGTTTCATGAGTGATGTTTGATGATGTTCATAAACATTGTTTCCTGAGCTCCTGCTACTTCAGGTCTTCTTCTTCTTCTTCTTCTTCTTCTTCTTCTTCTTCTTCTTCTTCACCACTGGGCTCTACTCCTTGGAGTCATCCCAGCCAGTCAGGGACAATGTAGTAAGTTCAATGACATCACAAGTGCACATCTAGCCAAGTCTGAGTGAAGGTAATGCTTCCTAGACCATACATATGTGTGATCCTAACCATTCAGGTGTATAGCGCTTCAATGCAGCAAAGAGGTGACAAATTGGGGAGCGAGGAAGTCACATAGTGGATGGCCTCCTTTAATGTGGTACTTTACAAGCACATTAAAGATTCTGATATTTAAAGCAATTTACTTTACATATTTATGTGATTGCAAATTCCCCTGGACTTAGCATACATAATATGGGGTGTTGGGGGGGGAGGAGGAGGAGAGAGGGCATATTAAAAAGCATAAATTCAACAGACAATATTCAGAATAATCCCCTCCTCAGCTTGGTAAAGGACTAATTGAAACGGGCAGGAGGTGTGTGCATATTCACCAGTTTATTATTTATTATTTATTTATTTAAGGCTTTTAAATACTGCTTAATCATTAGCATTCCTACTTGGTGTACCATAAAGAAACAAACCATACAGAGATCCCAACAAAACAAATGAGATGAAAGGCTTTCTAATCTAACCCTAAGCCTTTTCCAGTAGGCCATAGAGATTTAGCTGGTGCTTCCTGACGCCACTATAAGTGTATGAGTCAGGGATGCTCATTGGTTTGAACAACCTGAAGATTTGGGCTTTCATTCTGGAGCCTAAACTGCTCCTGGCCTTACACCAGCATGAGGATTGTGTGAAGCATACAGGTGGCTTCTTTCAGGGGCCACAAGCTAAAGATGCCTTGCCATGAGAGTCCACAAGGGGAGACAAGGGGGAAGTCAGCCCCCTGCAATTAACCAAAGTCCCCAGATTTCAATATTTCTATCATTTGTAGAACCTGAGACATGAGGCAAAATGTACAAGCACTATTCTTTTTCTTTCTTTCTTTTTTTTAAGGAATCTAATCTGCCCCCTTCTTTCAGTTTTAAATTTCCCCCATTCCTGGAAAGATTGCTGCAGACACATATGTACATAGCTGGCTTTTTACTGGGACATTATACAAGCCAGAGAGGGCTGTGGAAAGCTGGTTTCTGGATGTGCCACAGAATAATTTAATTTTGCTTATGTACAAGTGCTAAGGAAATGCATAGTCAAATTCAATAATGCCACAATTATTCATTGAAACCAAGTTCCAAGAATTAAAAGACATATTCTGAAAGCTACGTTTTCACTTGCAATGTGACAAGCCCTATTTATAAAGCAATTAAATATGAACATGTATTTCACACAGCAAATCAAAGTGGAGGTAATCTGGCACTGTGGGTATCTGGTTTAATGTCGCAAGACAAAACTTAACCTTTGGAATAACCCAAATGTGGATGCTGTTTCTCGTAATCTTAATAATTGTTGCATTAAAACTAGCTTTCCATGAACTCAAATTCTTTTCTTTCTTGTTGGAAGATTTAAAAAGAACTCTCTGTAGCTTTTATAGCTTGTTACGTTTATAAGCATTGCAAAATCAACGAGTTAAATTTCCAGAGACTGTTCACCTTAAGTGTTATAAGTCCACCTAGTCATAATGCAAAGGTCAGATTGAACTCACAAAGAGGTATTGTTTGAATAATTTTTTTGTGTTTTTTTTTTGTTAACACCTATTGGATCGTTGCTCACCCACGTGTTCCATATGAGAGGAAGTGCTCAGGGGGTGTCATTCAGGAAATATGGGGGCAGTCTTCCTCTTCCACTATTTCAGGTGGTGTGTATTCGTTGGAAGCAGTTATTCTTCTAGTTATGATGAGGTACACATATGCAAACCAGAGGAGAAAGCTCCAGACTCTCAAAAGGTGTGTGAGATGCATCTGAACTTTCAATAATATGTTTAAATACTTCATCTATGATGGAAAGTTTACAACATGGCTTGGGGCTCTTCAGTTTAAAGAAAAGTTGAGCAAGAGACAACATGATAGACATGTATAAAGTTATGCATGACATGGGAAAAAGCAGATAGAGAAATGTTTTCTTTCTCGCATAACACGTTGACAAAGGGACATACCATGAAGCTGAAAGCTGGCTGATTCAGGACAGAGGGAAGAAAGTATTTCTTCACACACCATATAGTTAAACTATGAAAATTGCTCCCATATGAGGCAGTGATGGCCACAAACTTGAATGGTTTTAAAAGCAGATTAGACCAATTCACCTCCCTTGATGGAGGCAGCAATGCTTCTGAATACCAGTTGCTGGAAGCCACAGGAAAGGAGACTGTTTTTATGCTCAGGTCCTGCTTGCAGTCTCAAAGGTATCTAGTTGGCCACTGTGAAACAGGATAATGTTTAATGTTTTAATATGTTTTTATTAAACATGGAAGCTGCCCAGTGTGGGTGGTGCAACCCAGTTAGATGGACAGGCTAATAATAATAATAATAATAACAATAATAATAATAATAATAATATAAAACAGATGGCCCACTTCCCTAACCCATCAGGTTCTTCTTAGGTTCTTTCT